TAATGATTACATTAAAAAATAAAAGTCCGCGAATAAAATTGTCATTGAATCGGGTTTCGATATAAGTACTTTCTTCCGATACCTGCTCAGTACTCGGTTCAAAAGTATCGATACCAAAATTACTTTGTATCGGACGAAAAGTATCGTGTATTTACTTGTATTTACTAGTATCGTTTTGTCCCTAACAGTGTCATGACTCAAAACAAGCAAAACTGCAAAAAAACGTCTTTAAAATTTTGAATTTACAAATACTCCCATAGTAAATATGAATACATATTTTGTACTAGTAGACACTGGTAATCGATAGAGCTAGGAATTTTTTACACAACCTAAAAGAAGAGGTTGCGGCCATTTTCGTACACTCAAATCAATACTTGCGTTCTTTGGATAACGACACTATTAAAATAAATTAGCGATATGTAAAAGCTAACAACGTAATAAAGATGAGATGTCAAGTGGACGTCGAAGTGTGCAAATGTATCATTTGGCGACGAGTAAAAAACGCAGAATTAAAAAAAGTCCACGTGGTTTACAAAATGACACGTTTTAAAGCTCAAAAATCTCGATAAACATTCATTTCTAATAAGTGTCGGTGCTGCTGAGTTGCACAAAATATTGAAAAGACTTGTATCGCCTTAGAAAATTGAGGAACTAGTTATAGATGCTGAAGTAGCCGATACTTGACTCGCCATTTTACCAATTACGTGTAAATAGTGTATATATGGAAGTGATGTTAATGACGAATTAAAAGATTGGCAAAAAGACGCAATCAAAGCTAACAGATCAAAATAACATTTCCGCGACAGCCGGTTCTACGTACCGGAATGACTCGGGTTTTACCCGACCAAGGGCTGTTGTTTCAGGGATCTAACCCCGTTTTGGTCGGCGAAATCCATCAAACGTTGCTCGATCCTAGGGCTACACCTTCTCCGCACCCTTCTGCTCAGGGCTGGAATAGAGTCAAACCCAGGGCCAGAAATCTACACCTGCTGCGTATGCCAGAGACGACTGCATACAAACTCCACCTCGGTAAGGTGCAATGCCTGTGACGGGTGGAGTCACCTCCGTAACTGCTCGGGCCTGCGTACGCACCGGCAATGGGCCACGTCGTTCGTGGCCCCATGC